AACGTTGTGGCGTACTATTATTTTTAAGGACTACACATAAAACAACGTTGTGGCGTACTATTATTTTTAAGGACTACACATAAAACAACGTTGTGGCATACTATTATTTTTAAGGACTACACATAAAACAACGTTGTGGCATACTATTATTTTTAAGGACTACACATAAAACAACGTTGTGGCGTACTATTATTTTTAAGGACTACACAATCTTATCTTGTTTGCAAGATAATGTGGGGATCAATATGATAAATGCCTCCAATTTCTTTGTGGTATGTTTTGAAAATAAGAGGATACAAGAGATTAGGCTGCACTTAAGACTGTTTTATTTTTATAAAAGGGGTGATTGACCTATGCAACGAGTTGCCATCAACAATAGTAGAGAGCAAAACTTTACAAAAGTTTAAGAAGGAAATCAATTACTTCCTGAAAAGCAAATGATGAGTCTAGATTTTTACATTTCTCAAAGTTCCTTGCTGTCCATAGGTTATTTTATTTTATAAAATAAAGCCAAAACAAAATAAACTTACTAGAACTACCATCACTCCTATAACACACCAATATAGGGTTGGATATTTTGTGGTACTGCACAGGCTCAAACCCAGCTCACCACCTCCAAAATCAAGAGATCTACCACAAGGGAAATCCACACTAGTAAAGTACGGTAGAACCTTGATTAATGGGCACCGCACCATTAAGGACAGACCTTTTCAGTCTCTTTCTTTTTTCTATTTGTAACCAAAATAAATCTTGCAATAACAGGCACCTCGATATTCCAGACTACGGGCAGTGTCTTTAGTCTTGTTCTCTACAAGTTCACTCAATAAAGTGGGCAGTTATCTTTGTATGCCTGTAAAGTATACCACTAAATTCCAAACATCCCAGAAGGATGACCAATTATAAAACACTAGCAATGTTTACTGGATTGGCTCCACACCATATACCGTAATAAAAATTTTCACCAATTCAAAGTGCAATCTTATTATTCTGGGGGAATTCTCATTGTAAACACTGTAGGATATACAAGCTTATAAATTCCACATAGTGTTCTCAAAGCAGAGTTCAAGTTGGCTTATTTCTGTGGGCATGCTTTGTTGCTTTCAAGAGTATCGTATTACAATGTCATGTAAACAGTCTAACAATGAAACACGCAGAGATTTGTTGCTATATTTATAGTGGGTTTTCTACTTCAGTCTTCAACAGTAAAATAAATGTGAAATGTTTAGCAGTTCAAAATGAAAAGAAGTACTTTGAAACTTTTTTTGACTTAGAATAAAGAAAAAAAGGTGCTACTATGGCGTGTGGTCTACATAGATACTACCATCATCACCATATTAATGATTCACTAAAATATAATTAATAATTTATATCGATCCACATTTTAGTTCAGCAAACAATAATAATTTAATAACTTGTGTTTTCTAAAAGAGTACCTTAAATTTAGGTTATAACTGTGCTAGTTTTGATTGTTTAAATTTATTTCATTCCAATTATATTTGCCCCCAGAAATTTTATGTAATGGTATTTTGTACTTTATTAGTTTAAGAGTGTTATTTATAATAAATGATGCCAATTGTAAATAAACGACCTGGTGATGATGATAGTATCTGTGTAGACCACACACTACAATAACACTGAAAAATGGGCACAACTAATCTACCCCCTGTTGACAACACTCCATGTAAAGGAAATGTGCAACTCACAAACACCTGTGTCCTGCATACACCAAACAAAATGGGGACAGACATTAAAGTTCTGAAGAGTCAATATGGAATCCAGCTTTATGCGGCTCATTTTTGATATTAATGGCAACTTGATATAGAGGGCATTTGGATGCAGTCGGAAGGGTATCCTGAATGTAAATGCATAGATTTTTCTTGTATATATATTAGAAATAAAAGTTCCAAGTATGCTTTTCAAAAGGTATCAACTTTTCTTATGAATAATACAAGTTTTAAAACAGCTATTTGTGGGATAATATTCATTGCTGCCTTAAGTACCAATAAGAATAATTACAGAGAAAAAAAATTAACATTTACAACCATAATAAGTTTTTTAAAAAATATTCTGGCACTTCAAATCAGTGTTGTGAAACAAGTCGTATAAGATATGGTGAACCAATATTTCAAACTGTAACTTAGTTTTCGGGTGATACATCGTCTTTGTCAGAAATCCGTACTGTAAGTAGTAGTTAAAATAGTTCATATCTCTTGTATATTTAAATAATCCATGTGCAACATTTGTAAACACACCTAAACCTATCGAGTTTTACAACATCTTGAAAACAAAGTACATAAATGTTTTATTTGGTGAAACTAAAAATAAAATATGGAACTGTTAAATAATACTATTATTATTAGTAACTAATAGTATTACTAATCACTATCAGAACTAGTGCATTATTTACAACTTACACTACCGCTGGACTTAATTTTAATTGTATAATTCTAGCCTAAGCTTTAGGTCTTAGAACATGTAAATAGTATTCACCTAGCAGTTTCTTCTCGCAGTTGGGTAGTGTAGTAACCTTGGTTGGGTTTTACTTTTAAGTGAGGCTTAACACTGTTACTAGCCCCTAATATTAATAACTCAATCGTTTACTAAGATTCAGTTACTGATTTTACATTGGGTTTGTTTCTTAGTAATAGTAGTACAGGCATCTAATAGTAATACAGCAACAATACTGTCTCCAACATAAGGTAAGTTACATATTTTGTTTTACCGATTTTTGATTACTGAAGAATAGTTACTAATTATTGTTATTACTACTAATAGTATTACTATCACAATCAGAATAAGATATGTCACAATACTGTAGTTAAACTTAAACTTTTAAAGTTAAACATAAAACTTCAAGTTGATCACTCATATTCATAATTACACTTAGACGTTAGAGAATATCCTGCAATTTAGTATCACATAACTTGCATCATCATAAAATATCAATATTTTCTAGATTATATTCACGTTAAAAATTCCAATTTATATTACCTCTTGAAAATAAGTATTTGTAAATAATTGTGATATATGTCAAATTTTACAATCTTCTCATCGGTAGGTGGACATAAATATGGCTGACAGTTAGTAACACAACCTGGAGGAACAACATAATCACACCAATAACATTTAATTTCTAGAATAAAAAATTCCAAGATGCAAAGTTTGAATGTTTCCGATATAAAAATTAATTCATATAAGTGATAAAATCAAAAGATAAAACCTATATATTTGATCACTTTTTTCCTCCGTTTTGGTGCAGCGTCTATAATAATTGCAAAAATATTTTGTAACGCTTGATGGCTAGTTTAGGCCATGTATCTGTTATTAACTAACAAAATGAATCACAGGTATTCAGGTGAAGAACCAGGGGCGTTCAGAAACATTTTATTTACGTTCAGTGACTACCTGAGGTAGCGATGATCGATACATCAGGTAACTCTCGTTTAATGTTTAAATATAGACCTGTTTAGGTGCAATTGACATAGTTTTCTTGTTGTTTAACAAAGTTTATATTTCTTGCCAATCTATGTTAATATCTGAAGCTGATCAACGTATAATAATAAACTAGGTTTGAGCCTGTGATAGAGAGGATGGGTAAGAAAATAAGCAGGTATTCTGCCATAAAATCAAGGGTGGTCAGAGATTAGTTAGCACTCTTCATCCTTCTTAAAAAAGAGAAATTCTTAGTTAATGTTTTTGTTTATTTACGAGCAAAGCCACATTGGGCTATCCGCTTTGTCCACCGCGAATAATCGCACTCCGAATTTTAGCTTTTAAGTCCGTAAACTTACCGCTGACCAACTTTGAACAATTTTTTTTTGTATTTATTTAAAGCTAAAAAGAGTTTTATTGAACGAAAGCTTTTTTTCGATAACATCGTACTTGAATTAATTGGGTAACTGTTTCGTCAGAAAATTTGCACCTCCGGTGATCAGAGAACAGACAGCCCATTGTATAGCTTTGTGCTTAACAAACTAGCCAAACCGTTTTTCAATGTGTATAGATTTCTTGTAGGATGAACGCCTTTAAGCATGATTATAATTAATGATGTTTATTATAAGACATCAGTGTTAGGCCTATTATGTTTTCAACACTACATTCTTTATTCAGTCCCTTAGTTTTTCAAGAAGGGTATTTCAAAATATATCCGCCAGATCCACTATTATAAACTCTTCTTGAAAAACGTGTGGATTTGGCTTCTTTTTATCGAGTGTATGGATGTACGTTTAATAACAGGTGAATGACAGGATAGATACCTGTCAATGTTTATAGTGTTTTTTTAATCCTGTAGTGCGAAATTTGCTTTGTTTCTCGATCATAACATTCAAGAGTGATGTTAACAACTTGCTAGCCTTATATAATCATAATTCCATCTATTAAAGACTGAAACATCAAGATTGAAACTGAAATTACCCGAAACGTCGAGATGTATCAACACTTTACCACGGGTTGTTGCTGCTCCTAACCTAACCTAGCCTGTACACAAAGCATTTCTCGATCTATTTTAAGTTAGGTAAGCTTAGCTATAGTTTACTTACTATACCAACCATGATCCCCTCTCTTCTTTGCTGCGGAGACAATATGGTTTCTTCCTTTCTGAAGCTCAAACTTAAGATTTTTTAAGTTCTTTCGTTTTTGGATGTTATAATCAGCAAAAATTCACACTACACGATATTGATGAACTACACACACACTGACAGATACCTCTATTTCTGATCCTGTCATCCACCTTCTCTCAAATGCGGTATCATTCAAACATGACACTTGATAAAAACGACAAAGCAATAAGTATATTCCAACATAATAGAACACAATTCTATTGATAATCTTAAAATAAAATTCAACCACCAAAATGCATTGAAAAACATCAACCCTATTTACCTTTCCTATATCTCAAACCTCTTGAAAAATTACAATAACCCGAGAAAAAAAATCGACAATGTTAAGAGATGGAAATCTTGACAGACACTTTTTCGATTTGAATTAATCTTAAACAGGGATGACCTATCAGTCTTCACAGACATATTATCTATGAAATCCACTGTACTTGCAACGAATCCTACATTGATGGAATTAGTGGTAGACATTGTGTAGCTCATCTCAAAAACAAAGTCAAGACGCTCGCAACGAGACTTTAAAAAAGCCGAAGAAACTTGTCAGTTACCAGTCCTTGTCATTACCATAAAGTCACCGTGAAAAATGTCTCTAGTCATAGCTCTCGGAAGCCTTGAGGATATTCCATCTATCAGACATGATCCAAACGCAGATGTCGAACTTGATAGCTGCTATGGAAAATCAAATGAAGGGGTAGGAATCGAGTGCTTAACCCCACAACATCTCAACTCCTACCAGTCTTTCGCTGTCTGCAACCAGTTGTGAGAAGGCAGTTCCCCCTAACATTTAGGAATAAAAGGCAGTTGTTAAAATAGCCTTATACTGGAAATAAAACACCCTACATTTCCACATTAGTACGACTCCCACCTCTACCCCTTTTGATGATTATTGCAAAATGACATTAAATAGAACTAAGAACCCTTATCTTAATTTATCTGTATTAATAATAAACTTCCATTGTCCTCCTTTTATCTTTACGAAACTTATTCAAGTAATATTGTTACAGTATTAATTGGGTAAGCTGGAGACAGGCCCAGCTACCTGTGGTTGGTCTTTCCGTCCCGGTATACTAAATAATTACTTTAAAAAATTGATGTCTACTTACTTATAAACTTAAGAAAACCTTGAATAACTAGCGTCCTCTTTATGATTTGAAAAATGTAATGTCAGTAATTAAAAATTTATTTTTTAACATACTATCAGATTTATTATAAAAATGTGTATATTTTTATTTGCCAATCTTTTTTAACTTATGTACAAATATCTGAATATTATCTATAAAATAATTGCTATTGTAAAAATAGTTAAAATATTTTTAAATTGAGAAATAACAATTCCTTTTAGAAGTATACACGGGACTACACTGTTAGGGGTGGGTAGTCCAAGGATGGGAAAATTAAAAAATCTCTTCTTTTGTTCTGTCTTCCATGAAAGAATATGTAATTCTAAATACATGCATGATTA